TTCAAGAACTTCTCTGTATTGGTCAGAGTGAAAATCTTTAAATGGGTTAAAATTCATAGGAGACATTTACGTCAAATTCAGGGACACTTAGCTGGTAGAAATTTCGTAACTGAATCGAGTGTGAATATTCACAGCTCATTACGCATGCAAGAATGCAGACATGAATCTGAAAACTACAACCAGCTACTATCAACGGATTCAACTTTCGAATAATAAATTCATTAATGTAATCATGGGGGGTACGCTTGACTTGCGTTGACTGTGAGTGTGGAAAGAAGGGAACTCAGTTTTCTAGTTTCATGCTCTGGGGCCGAATAATTTTAAGTCTGTGAACAAATTTAAAACTATCATCAGCTATGGATCACTTTGTACTCGGAGTACTTTCAGGTTACTTGTTTCTTCATCGTTTGAGTTTGAAAGAAGAAAAGCTGTGGCTATGATTTAAAATGGCCGGTAACCGGTCAAAGTTTTCAAAACCCTAACTGACCAGCAGTCTTGTCTTTTCCATAAATTTTACAAATCGAAAAAAACAGCTAATTCAAACTATCATATGTTGATTAAGAAAAGTCAAACGATTCTGAAACACTTTATAGGTCTCAAGTTTAGCGTTTGGTTCAACACTCAGGGCTCGGAAAACGAAACCATGTTTTCTGACACTTACAATTTTTTTAGGTCGACTGCCGGTCAAGATTTTCAGTAGGAAAGGGGAAAGAGGAAAACGGAAAGAGGAAAGAGGAAAGCAGAAGGAGGAAAGAGGAAGGAGGAAGGAGGGAGGAGGAAAGAGGAAAGAGGAAGCTCTGAAAAAATTTCTAAGTGTCCCAAAACGTGGTTTCGTTTTCTGAGCCCAGCGTAAACCAAACGCTAAACTTGAGATCCGATAAAGCGTTTCAGGATCGCTTGACTTTTCTTACTTGACATATTATTGTTTAGATTAGCTGGGTTTTTTTTGATTTGTCAAATTTACTGCGAATATAGGACTACCCGGTCATTTAGTGTTTTAAAAGGGGATTCAGGAAAGGGGATTCAGGAAAGATCTGGAAGGCGGTGAATGAGGTGTCTTCGCGCAAGACTAAATCCTCGAGTCCACAATGTATCGTAGTTGATGGTGTTGAACACACCACCCCAGCCTCTATTGCATCCGTGCTCAACTGTTATTTCTCATCCATTGGCAGAAGTCTTGCAAATAAAATATCAGCTGCTGCTATGTTCCCAGTCAGATCGGCCACGATGCTACAGTCTTTCTCGCTTGACGAAGTTGATGAGAAAACAGTACTCAAGCATCTGCTTTCTCTAAAGACAAATAAAGCTATTGGCTTGGACAACATCAGTGCGAGACTTTTAAAGTGTGGCGCGCGTGCTATTTGTCCCTCGATCACCAAGTTACTGAATCTCTCTATTCGCACTGGCAATTTTCCTGAAATATGGAAATGCTCGAAAGTGGCTGCACTTTTCAAAACTGGAGATAGGAGAGATGCGTCAAATTATCGCCCAATTTCTATTCTGCCAACAATGAGTAAAATTCTGGAAAAAGTCGTCCATTCCCAATTCTATGACTTTCTGAATTCAAATAATCTCCTTTCAAGCAAACAATTTGGCTTCCGTCCCAAACTGTCTACAACATCGGCTCTCACCAGTTTTGCAGACGAGGTCCTATTGCATATGGAGAGTGGAGAACTGTGCGGTGCAGTGTTCCTAGATCTGACCAAGGCATTCGATACCGTTGACCATACGATCTTGCTATCTAAATTGTCGGCTATCGGTGTCTCGCCCAGCACTCTACAGTGGTTCAAGTCTTACCTGAATCATCGTAAACAGCGGACTGCCTGTAGCGATGCTGTGTCTGACCCTCTCCCGATGACCTTTGGGGTGCCACAGGGGAGCATTCTAGGACCGCTTCTCTTCTTGGTTTATATTAATGACCTTCCGCTGGTTATAAAGAATTGCGAAGTGACTTTGTATGCTGATGACACGGTCCTGTACTACTTTGCTAAAGAGCCACACCTGTTAGAAGAGGCACTGAATGATGATCTCTTGAAAGTTGCCCAGTGGTTACATGGAAATAAGTTAACTTTAAATCTTACTAAGACGAAATCCATGATTATAGGCAGTAATAGGAAACTTGTTGGTATTTCCTCTTTCACGTTATCTATTTTTGACACCGATATAAATTCTGTAAGTAGTTTTAAATATTTGGGAGTTATGTTGTCTTCAACTTTCACATGGCCCGACCATATTGAGTATATTTCATGTAAGGTTAATAAAAACCTTGGTCTTCTACGTAGGATTAAGTATTATTTACCTTATGATGCCCGGTTACTTTTTTATAATAGCTTAGTGCTACCTATTTTTGATTATGCTGATTTAGTGTGGGGTGACAAGGACAATGTCTCACTTATGAAGGAATTGCAAATTCTCCAAAACAAAGCAGCTAAGTTGATATTAGATAGATCACCTCACTCCTCATCCACCGATGCATTGATTGTCTTGAGATGGCTGAATCTTGAAGAACGTAGGAAATGTCATCGATGTATATATGCATACAAGTGTATTAATGGCCAACTTAATCATTCTTTGGACATTGTAAGAAAGAGTGATATACATTCCTACAATACGCGCAATAACGATACTATCAAGCTCCCCAAAATTAAATATAATTGGGGAAAACAACGTTCGCGGTACCACTGTTTCAAAGACTTTAATGAATTAGAGAGAACTGTAAGAAACTCAGCAAGTTTTCCAATTTTTAAGAAGTGTCTTTTTCTGCTTTTTATAATTGAGTACTTGTAGTGTGTATGTTTTAATTATTTCTGTAACTCGATTTTAGCTTGATTTTTTTTTTTTTTTTTTTTTTTTTTTTTTTTTTGTATCATATATATCGATTTTAGCTTAACCTTTTTATATTTTAATTGTATTATATAATATACATCTCGTAATTAGGACCTCTATGTAAACCACTCTTGTGATGGAGCATCCTATTAAAAGATTGTTATTATTATTATTAAAAACCTTGACCGGCATTCGACCTGAAAAACGTTATGTGTCACAAAACATAGTTTTGTAAACCAAACGCCATTCTTGAGATCTATAAAGCATTTCAAGATCGCTTGACGTTTCTTAACCGACATATGGTAGTTTGGGTTGGTTGGGAATCTTATAAGTCAAATTTATTGAAAATACCGGACTGTCGGTTATTTAGTGTTTTCAAAACCTTGACCGGTTAGTACCGGCTATATAGCCACAGCGAAAAAGAAAATACGGAGTCACTGCACTGTCTGGACGAAATTCAAGCTCTCTTTTTAATAAAACAATACAGTAAATAAATAAATAAATAAATAAATAAATAAATAAATAAAAAAATCCGGCAATCTCCCTTTGGCAGACAAAAACATTTCCTTAAATATACTAATTTTTACGAACCAGTCGACTTGTGTGACTTTGACTGAAAGTATTCAAAAAATCACGCGAGACCCCTGCGCGAACCATAACATTTTTACTTCGACTATTTTATAATTAACGTATGTATGTTAACGGGCGGACTTAAATAGCAATTCCTATATCGTCGTAACAGACACCGTATCTCGTTTCGTAACTTTTATAACAATGTTTTGACTTAAACGATGCACTCAAATTAGTTGGCGCCAGTCTTTGTCAGTGTACCTTATTGCTGGTGAATTGTATTAAAACCGTGTCATTTTAAACGAAATTGCATCATAAACATGAATGGGAATTAAACAGTCTTTAAACTGAGACAGGAGCCTGAAAATAAGACTTCTGGCAATCAATTAAAGTGGAAGCTACAAGTGGCTTGCTCTCGGAGAACTGTTCTATAACTGGTCACCCATCTTTGCAAGCCAGATGTATTTTTTCAGTTCAGTTTCATATTGTATAGCAGTTTTGTTTTGACTGATGCCTTTATATAAACCTCAACTCGTTTGTGTAAACGAAGCTGCTTTTTCCTTTTTTATCCCTTCCTTAACGAAATTGATCGTGTTTCTTTGTTTTGACAGATGAATATAGTAAGACAAATTGTTTTGGGCCTTTGAAACTGGTCGAAATAACGGACCGTCTGAAAAACTTCTCGCCAAAACACTACAAGGACCCTTTTTTTCTTGAACATAATTTTTGTCAGCCTTGACCTAGAGTTGGATGCAGGACACCTGTACGCCTTCGGATATAATTGCATGATTACACAAAGCAACTGAAGACACTGAACGGCTAATCAAATGCTATCAAATGGGCTTTTATTGAGTATCACTCTCTGAAATGATCACTCTCATATCATCGGCCTTATGTATACTGAAGTCACTGTTGAGAACACTGAATAATTGAAAGCGATTAGCGATGCGTGGTCGTTTACTGACAGGTTTGACTATTTTAATAATGGAAAAGGAAAACTTTTCTTTAGGTTTTGGACTAAGCCTCGAACAAAATGATAACGAAGATATAATTCAGCTGTCATCTACGTTTTCTGAGGTACTGGTTGCTGACGAAGAAGAAATCGCTGTTCCATAAACAATTTTTTTATGATATTGCACTAGCCGTCTGACCATTTTTTTTTTCTCCGAGAGGCTGGTCTACTTTGTCGTTAGGAATCGCTTTCGAGGTACGATTCCTTCTATTCAAGGCTGGCATTGAACAACAACATGTACAACAACAGCTAAAAGTATTCACGCCGACCCACGAAAAACCGGACAAGTCTAACAAACAAACAAACAAACAAACAACCTGGAAGCTATGAGACAAACAAAAAAAGAGAAACACTCTAGGTGATATGCCTCCCGGCTTTCTTTGCGACAATTTTCGTGAGATGACTTTTTCAGTAAAAAGGGATGTCTAATTTTGTTCTTCAACAAAAGAAAAATCTGTCTGGTATAATTTTGCTATTTTGCAAGAAACAACTCGAGGCGATGTGTTGGAAAGCCTCCTATCGGCTCAACCAATCAAAGAAGCGCTGCTGCAATTAACTGTCAATCAACTTAAACAACTGGTTGTCAGTTTCTTCCCTTGTTGTTGCAGATCGAGGGATCAACTCGATCGAGAACATCACTCGCTCGAATGTATCACAACAACTCGCTAGGAAGATGGCGAATTGTTGTACGAAGAACGAGAAAACGGAGCCTTTGACTATCAAACTCGAAGGAAACAACGTCGAGCAAAATATAGAAGCGTGGCTCGATGAACACCCGGATTTCGTTCACTCGTATTTCACGCGCAAAGCAAGCAGGACTCTAATCGACTCCTGGCTTCAATCGCGTTCTGTAAGGAGTCCTACACCCACTGGAACGCCGCCGCCTTCGGGTTCTTCTACGCCTGTACGGAAAATATCTGCGTCTGAATTCGAAGGAAGAGGAATTTTAAAACCCTTAGTTAATGTAGTGGATGGGCAAGCGACTTTCCTTACGCCAAATGAACCGCATAGAACACGGCCTTCCCCTCGAAATCGCAAATCTCGTGTGGAGCTTTTACAACTCGACGAAAAAGAGTTGCTAATGGAACTCGTCAAGGATATTTCCAACGATTTGGACTCAACGAGTCTTTGTCACAAAATTCTACAAAATGTCAGTATTCTTGTCAATGGTGACCGATGCTCGCTGTTTCTTCTCCAAGGCCCGAAAGATGGACCTCGATATCTCGTGTCAAAGGTGTTCGACGTGAACGCCGAGTCAAAACTAGAGGACATGCAGGGTTTGGAAGAAATTCGAATTCCTTTGGGAACAGGAATTGTTGGATATACAGCTGCAACAGGAGAGGTCGTGAACATTGCAAACGCGTACGAGGTAAGCTAAGTCAAGTCAGCTGTGAACTCGTCATTCAATCCTCACACTGCGAATTTATCATTTTCAGTGGTCCCGTACCTGTTAGTTTCTGTCTTCGTTAGCTTTTACGAATTTGCAAGTTGCGTAGCAGAAGTAATACTGTATTCACTATTTTTATTTCTCTTATTTATCCACATTTCATACGTGCGCTAAAGGGGCTCAGGGTATTTTCAAGACAGCCGAGCATTTTATAGTTCATAAACTAAAATGTTTGGCGCCTATAGCTGTCCCCTCGAAATTTTTGTTAATCGATTAATGGTTCGTGTTGCACTCGAGAGCTTAGACTCCTTGGTGGATTTAACACGGTAAACGAATTGACAGTTCTCTGTAGATACTTTTAAATCTTTGCAAAAAATTCGTTTAATTTCCCTTAGCCGTCAAATTTGCGAGAGACTCCTTGGAAACGAATTGAATCAGCTACCGTGTACTTTCATCGACTGTCCCTCATTCGGGTTAGAATCGAAATTTCTGTCTGTACACTCGCCGGTTTTAAAAATCGATTACTACGTTTTACCTTACAATCAAGATCGGTTTGTTAACGCGATTTTATTCATCAACAGCGAAATAACAACGCTTTTTAAACGGAAAATCGGGAGCTTTTTCGTCAAAACATTGTAGTTGTAATTGCCATACCCCTCTGCGAGGACATATTTACCTCTTTGTTTACATTTCACTGCGATTGGCGTTGGACAGTTCAGTGAACTCAGTGAGGGATGGTAACCTCAACACATCATGAGAAAATAAAAGATTTATTCACAATCTCTTCTTAGCCAGGAGGGCGATACCACTAGATTTTAAGCCGGCCGTGATCCATGTCATAACAATCGTGGTCACAAACCTGTTCAGCTAAAAAAATTATATCAATAAATGCATTTTGTATTAAATTTTCTGGAACAAGTTAATTCTTTAGCAAAGGTAGCCTTTTTAAAGGTGTATTCTTCCTGGTGGATAAGATAAATTAAATGTTCCACGATCAAGTGATTTTTGATGGGAGTAACTCTGGAAAGTTAGCAAGTCTATGTGTTTGTTCCACGGGGTGTCGTCTGCATGTAGTCAGGTCGGAAATAATTCCTGTTCGGTGTCACTCGATTGTGTCAAGTTTTTTTGTTGCCTGAATGCGAAGTGGCGCGAATAAGTCACATTTGAAGGACTTTTTTCATTTCATACAATATTCTGACTGAAAAAGGATGCGAGATATATATTATTGTAAAAACAGACTATATGTCACGCGAGGTGATTAAGCGATTTCGAATAATCCTTTCTCATAGTTATAGTACCACTTTAGATTTTTTCCTTGAATGACATATTAATTACTGAAGGTAATATTCTTTCAGGTGAAATTCTGTTTTCCTTCATTTTAGAATATTAACTTCAGGTAAAATCAAAAATAGTAATTTTGTCTAAAGGAAGTGACTGTAGTCTTTGTAATGTTAAAAAGTCGGCCTTTTACGTTTTTCACTGTATACACGTAATATAATACCAGAACAAAAAGTGGCATGAAAAAATAAGGGCTTATGTAAACAGTTATATCTTCTAGCTGAAAGCTTTCTTCTTAATTAAAGTAAAATTTATCATAGGCCGGACACGAATGTGGACCTCATTATTTACATTTTATTCGGCAAGAAATCCGTGAGAAAGTCTTAGATTTAATTTTTTTTTAGCCACAAAGTACGCGATTCCCCCTCTTCAGCGTTATTATCGCAGATGTTAAAATGTAAATCATAAAGTAATATAAGCCAGAAAGATTGCCGGCATTCATTTATATTCATTATGATAAAAATGTTTTCAATGTTTTCCCTTCAGTTAAAAGCATTGTAGAATTTCTTTTAACAAAATTATACAACTTTTGATACAAAGAAAGCTCTGTATTATTTTAAATTTTCTTTACAAAAGTATGCATCTTTTTGGGCCTTTAAAAATTATAAAATTTTGTTGTCAACAACAGTCTCAAAAAACCTTGGATGTAGTTTCAGATAAAATATGGAAATTGTTAGATGAAGAGGAGATCTGTAGATTACGGATGTAGTTTTAATATACAAATTTGTTCAACTACAAATTATATCACTGGTTTCGGATATGTTCATGATGATTATAGAATATAAATCTTTCTGTTCATTTCTAGATGACCAAAACATCTCCAAACAATTTGAACACAAATTATAAACTTGTTTTTACCATAATGATTTCTCATGTGGATTGGTTACAGATGTTTCAGATTAAAGTTGTTTGGAAGTTTTTAATTTTATCTTGACCAGTTACTTTAGTGTGGGCCACAGAGACTCACATGTACGAATAATGTCATCAATTCAAACTAATTCATCACATTCTTGTACACATTAAGTAACACGTATGCAAAAGATAAGGCATTCTTTTAATGATACTTCATATATTTGTGGTTTTTTAACATTCTATTATTATATATCCTGAATTTTTCTTGTTACATCCAAAAATTGACTGTTATATATAGATATCATAAAAGAATGGCCATTTTCTATTATCAGCTAAGGAAAGAATTAGAAATACCTTCTTTCTTTATTTGTTACTCATTTGTATATGTGAAAGTGTTGTCAAGTCAGTTCGGTACAATCTTTGTGTATTAGATTGTTTTCACTTTTATTGTAATTGAAGTACATTTTAAAAATATTGTTAATGGCAAAAAATTAACATTGATATAATAGAAATGCAATAATAATGTTTTGTTCATTGCACTGTTTTTGGAATTTTTTCTGCAGAGTTTGCTCATACAGTAACCTACAGGCTTGTTTGCATGAGTTGTGTTAGTAATGGTTTTTTTTAAAAGAAAAATTAAATTTGTCCAAACTTTGCTGGAGAGTTCAGGGCTGCATACTATTCTTTATAGGACAGGAAAATACACAGTTTTGTTATATGTAAGATTACAGGCATGCACACTTGTTCATTATTATTTTGGGGGAACTTGAACACTTAAAGTCCTGGATGAATGCATGAGAGACTGGAAACAAAGCGATTTTCTTGTGTGGTTATGAATATTTGAAAAAGGCCGCCATGTTCCTAGTGAATAATAGTTTCAAGACGTTACGGGGGTCCTAATATATTGGTATAATCCGGACTGGTATTCAGGGTGTTCATTAAGTACCGGAGATATTTTTTGCAGAATTCTCCATCTACTAGGCTAAATTCTCCCGCTAACATTTGGTATCCTACGACTACTTTTTCTTCAGACGTGGAGCCTTTTTCAAAATATTCTCCAGCATGCAAAGAAAGTGGTGTCAGATAGCCCGGGGCTAGTGGATTTTGCTATCGGGCTAGTGAATTCTGTTTTTAACTTGCCTGATGGGCAAGTGATAGTTTTTTAGAAATATGAATAACAGAAGAACTGTAATCAATCCTGCTCATCAAATTTTTTTCGGGCTAATTGAAATGACTTTCGGGCTAGTACATGCCAGCTACAGCTTGCCCAAATGGCAAGCTGTGAAACTGTCTTTATTTGCACCCTGTTATCCCTTAAAAATACACCTTTCTCCTGCTACTAGAATTCCTAGTGACGCCCCTGGGTATAAGAACACAGCCAGTGTTTCAAATAAGTCTTATAAGCAAGTTGCCTCAGAGAAAGTGTGTCTGTGGACTAACACTTTTGTTTTCTAGAGCTATTTGCCTCATTGGTCAATGCAGATTTTTATTATTAATTATGAGGAAATGTTTGCATCAGCGGGCAAAGTCACTAGCCTGAGAAAACAGCTGACATTTCGCGAAGCCATCGCTGGTTTCCCTGCGAAATGATGTCTGAGGAATGACTGCAGTAATTCCTGACCATACTGATGACATGTCACTAACCATAACTAGGCAGTGCTTGTGCTTGGTTGAATTAAGCAAATTTCCTTCCCAGCATGACCAGTCAGATGCACTATCCAGATCTGGGTAGTGACACATCATCAGTATGGAATTTCTGCGCCTCCTCCTCTGATGTAAATTTTGGGTGGAAATCAGTTGTGACGTGGTGTAATGTCTGCCTTTTTTTTCTGTCTAGCAAAGTCACTAGAACTAGAATTTCAGTATGGCATCCTATCTTTCTCTGCTCTATGTTTTAGCAAGATCGGTTGACAGCAGCAAAGAAAAGTGCAAAAACTATCGTAAAATACTGACAGCAAAGTGGCTTCCTCCTTAAATTCGCAAAATGACGAGTTTTTGAGATATTTATATTGTGTGCTAGGGACATGTTAAACTACAAACGTACTCTCTCCCACTAATAAGAGGGCCTTGTTCATGTTCATCCAAAATATGTGACAAATGGTAGCTGTCTGAGTGTATTTAAGTACCTGAAGGTCTCAGTGCATAGTAGTAAACCTAAATGATCTGAGAGAATGGTGTGTATAGTCACCATTCAGCACTTTTGCTATCATGAACTGCTGTTTATATGTCTTAGTTTATAAATGTGTGTTTTCTGATTTAGAAAATGTAACTGTAAAAAGTAAGTCGACTTTTATTTCTGATGAGGTGTAGTGTATTTCAATAAACTATCCTTAAGTCCCTTCAACATTCTGGTTCATTGGTCATAGCTCCTGTTGTTCCAGAGTACTTTGACCATTCGGTGGATTAAATACAAATATCATTACCATTAATGAAGTGACAATTCATTACCGGTACTTTTAAGGCACTGACAATAATATTAATTATTTAATCATTTGTCTCAACATGTGGTCACTTTTGATGTAGACGTGCTTCTAAGTCTTCATTTTCACCTTTATTTAAAAGACTTGTTTCTCACGGCACCACTCAATTTGTGAAAAACCTTAGCTATAGTGACTGTTTACTTTCATGAACTGTTGATCATTTAGGTCAAGTCAGAACGGGCTAAAGGACGCAAGGGCAAATATCGCCAACTGTTTATTGTTTAGGTTGGAAAGATCTGTTTTAGACACACCAACCGGTTTTATAATCAATACATTTGTGGCTTCTATTGTGGTTAAGTTGCATTGATGGGCCTTGGATGAGCAAAAGCATTTTGAGTTGAAGATGAACATAACAGATGTAATTATAATTGAGGTACTAAGAGATACCATTCAGGAGTGATAAAATGTTTATCATAATTCCATGACAGATGAATACACACACTGTAGTGGTTATTTTAATAACAATCAAGAGTTGGTGTAAGTGGTCAAAGTTCTAAGCATGATATTTTAATGCTTTCGTGATTAAACTATGGCTCTTAAACCAGATTAATCTCTTTATTCCTGGTAAAATTTTACAGTATGAACTCAATCAGATAACGTCTTGTGTGTCTATGATCCATTAACTCAAGAGTGCGGTCTCAGCTGTTAATTCTAAATAAGCTTACAGTTGAGTGACCACTGAAAATTATTGCTTCCTGTGGTGAATGAAACTCTAATGAAAATTTGCATGTACTTACATTAGCATATTTTACGACTGAATGGCCTAATTTTGTTGAGTAAGTTGTTAGTGAGTATATGCGATTGGTAAAAATAGAAAAAAAATTAACATTCAAGAAGAATATCAATGCATTTATGCTAAACTGATCTGCTATTTTAATGAAGTCATGCAATGTCTGCATTTAACACTTTGTTTTAAAATTTGCATTTGAATATAGGTAACTTGGTCTTTAGTTATATTGTATCATTTTGATTAATAATGTCAGCATGATCTTGATATCCTCTCCGTTTGACAGTTTTTTTGTGACAGTGGTTTTAATTAGCTACTTGTGGCTGCATCTATACCCTACAGTTTGCAATTTCTTCATTTGGTTTCACTATAAACCTGCTAATTTTCCTGTCTGGTTGATTTGTCATGCATACAAGGCCAGTATTAGATGGATGAACAATTAAAGAGGCTGTGTCATGGTTGTCTAGTTCATTTTGTTTATTTTGCCAATTACAGGTCCTTATTCGCATTGGAACTCACATGTAACTAAAGTGATTAAATTACTTGCATATGACTCAATCAAAGCTTCCGGTGAAGCAAATATGCGTCCAAAGCATTCTATCAAACATTACAAACAACAAAATAAACTTTGAAAAACTGAAGCCTCTTCGTTTTTACTTGCTGTGTTTTTTATACCTTTGTTTAATGTTGTGAGTGTTCATTTATATGTTTCTCACAATTTGATGGCAGTTGCCACTGTTGAAATTTCGATAAATCATTCGTGACACTGCTCTTTTAAGCAACTGAAAGAAGCAAGAGGGGGTGTTCCATAAATATCTCCACAAGAAGCTATTTTAGTCTGATGCAAAACAGCTGTAAATTTCTCACATTCCATTCAATAGTTACCTGTTCTTAAGCATCATTCTCAGGGTTTTGGGTGCAATGATCCTTCTTAAGCTTTAATCTTATTATTCTTTGACAAGAACATAGTCATTGTGTTAATCTGTTTTTATCCTTTTAAATGATTATTATGCAAAATAGATGATGTTTCTGTTTCTGTCTTTACCACGCTTGCTAGAGATTCAGTTGGATACTGAATAGTAATATTAGTAAATGTAAACTTCTTGTACAGATTTAATTGTTTTGTTTAACAAGGAACCAATAATAATATTATTGCCAAAAAGTTTGCTGGTGTATTTTTGGACAGATAATCATTTAGTGACTTCATGATACGGAAAGTATTAACCCATATTTCAGCAAGACCGAACTGAAAAAATCAGACCAGCTTTCCAAAGTTTGATAGTTATTGTTATTTTGCACGACATTGCCGTGTACCTGTCTTCAATGGTCTAGCACTAGGAGCATCATTATCCTGATGAGGACAAAAGAAACAATTAAGGGTATATAGAGTGGTTAAAGCACATTAATTTATTTTTACAAAATGAATGTTCATGCGTTACAGATAAAATTGGAATTTGGAAGTGTTGTTTTTGCTTAGGAGAGGATAAAACCAGAGTACTGGGAGAAGTACTCTTGGAGTAAATAATTGCTGCCGGAGTCCTAAAACCAGCAACCAACACAATTCGTTTAATGGCATCAAGTTGTTAGCACTGAGATGGGAACCTGGACCATGTAGGCGGGATAAGAGTACTTTGACCACTACATTACCCTTATTCCTGTATTCATGACATTAACTATTGATAAAAATCCCATTTTTTTCTTTCATCAGGATCCAAGATTTAATCAGGAAATTGACCTGAAAACTGGTTACCACACTAGAAGCATTCTTTGTATGCCCATTACAGACCATTATCATGGAGAGGTATTAATTCTTTGTTATTAAAGTCGCAGGGCCAGGCGGAGAACCCTTTTCTGAAGGCTGTTCAGTCATGTGCAGCTTTATGCAGTTCAGTTGGTGTTGACGTCATTGTTGGTAGAGGTCTCATTATGCTGGAATGTAGCTACCCTGTAAGGAGGGGAACATTGGGGGACGGTCAACACCATACCACAAAAAAAATAACAAACACCACATCACCCCAAAAAAAAGTTGAGGAAACACCGATGTCGCAATGGACATTTTTACCGATACGGTGGCCATATTGATTTAATTTGATTTAAGGAGTATTATAGGAAGCCCTGGGGGCATGAGCACCTTTCATTTGCATTTTCGAGCGTTTTTCGGGACATTTTTTCTTAAAGTTTTCTTAGAATAAGATTGTAATGGGAAAAAAGATCCTTGTGCCATGTTTGGATGTAATAGTGATTGCCTTTTTCTAGTTTAGTATTAGAAATAAGGTCTTTCACTGTATATTTCTCGGGAAAAAGGTGATCATCATTACATCCAAACACGCCACAAGGATCTTTTTCCCCATTACAATCTTATTCTAACAAAATTTTAAGAAAAAATGTCCTGAAAAGCGCTGGAAGTTACAAACGAAATGTGCTCATGCCCCCCCTGGGCATCCTATAATACTCCTTACATCGAATTAATTCAATATGCAGGGTTCTCAATAGATTTTTAAGTAGGAGGTGATCACTGATAAAGTAGGAGGCTCTTCCGCAAAGCCAGAGGTGTCAAAACAAAGCAAAGAAAAGCGACTTAAACACAAAGTAAGCGGCTATAAATCCCAAAGTAAGCGGCGATCAATCGCCGGGTGCCGTCTTCTATTGAGAACCCTGAATATGGCTGCCGTATCGGTAAAAAGGTCCATTTAATTTTTGTCCTATGATTAATCTATTCCATTAATCTATTGTGGATGGAGGATCTTGGAGCTGGTTTTGATGGAGACTTAGGCTGACCTCTTTGATTCTAAGAACTCTATCTCAGTCATGCAGATGTAAAGACTGCATGTATGATGGCGTGTTACAAACTTACTTGTGTGACGGTATTTCTGAGTCCCCACCCTTTTTCCCTCTTCATAAAAAATGGTGACACAGCTGGTCATGCACTCTGTTGTAAGCTCATTGACATCGATGTTGGTACTGAAGGTGGAATGATACCTTAATTATTAATTATTGCCTCCTGCTCACAATGTATTTTGAATTGTTTTTACAGGTAATTGGTGTCGCGCAAGTTATAAACAAAAGAGGATTTTTAGATCACACTTTCACAAGAGAGGACGAAAAGGTATTCAAGAAAACAGGACTTATTTTACTGTTTATTAAAATCAACGAAAAATTCAGTGAATAAAGTGAATTTGGCTTTAAACTAAGAAAGCTGTATGATGTCAGCTAAGTGGTACTTTTTATGATGCCATCTATTCAGCTGTACAGGAGAGTTCTTCTAATTCAAAAAACTGAAGATATTGAGGGGAAAATTTTTGTTGTTGTTTTTTCAGTCTGGCAAAGATTGTATGAAAGAATTTTTGTTGTTTTGAATTTTTTTCCGTAGATATTCAGCAAATACCTTGTCTTCTGTGGAATTGGAATTACAAATGCAGAGCTCTATGAGAGAGCGCAACTTGAAATTAGGAGAAACCAGGTGAGAAGGTCTTCACATGGTACTGATGTTAGTTAACTTGTTAACATGCATAGGGAAGGAGGCAGTTTGGGTGAGCAGTTAGAGCACTGGACTTGTAATCTGGAGGCCATGTGTTCAAGTCCAGCCCTTACAGGTAGCGGGATTTGTACTTGCTAGTCCTGAGTTCAAGTTCTTGGCCATGTTTGCAAAATTGTTGACTGGTTTGCCTACTACCAGTTGGAATTTTTAACCTCGTTATGTTCAAGTTGAAGCATTTGTTTCATTTACCCTAAAAAGTGCCATAAGGGAAGAGGATAATTAAGTATAGTAGTTAATTGTTGTTGTTGGTATTATTATTTTTTGGAATTTATGATGATGATGATGATGATGATGATGATGATGATTTATATTATTACTATTCATGTCTTATCACTGTTTTCTTACTCTTGATGTATTTTTTTCTTTTAGGTTTTACTGGATCTAGCTAGGACAATTTTTGAAGAACAAAGTACACTTCATAATATTGTACAGAAAATTATGATGATCACTCAAACTTTACTTCAATGTGAAAGATGTTCTGTTCTTTTAGTTGACCCATCCTCAAAGGTACATTCATTTAGTAGCAGTTCATGTTAATATGTTAAAAAACAGTTCTGCATTCTTCAGCTAGTTCTGATATTTAAAATGGGAGCCTGTTTTCTAATAATCTACCACAGGTTCTTGAAAGCTTCTTGGACATGAAATGAACTACCCCTAGCCTCCACATTAAGATCCCTCCCTACCAATCACCGCCCCCCCTCCCGACCAATCACAGCACATGTTGGGGGAGGGGGTCCATGTGAGACATTGGTTATGCCCTTGGTCATCCTTTTTCATACCACAGAGAATACTTGAATGCCTTGTGAGGCACTGGCCTGTGGATTTTTATCCCTGTCTAAGAAGACTTGAAGGTCTAATCATCTGCAGATGTGAAACAAAGGAAACATTCTCTCCGCAGTAAGATCTGGGCATTTGAGCACTCCAGCCTGGAGTCCAACCTCGGCCTAACCCTCCATAGTCTGGTACCCAATGAAGCTTACTGGCTGTCAATGCACATCCCAGATGGTGGGAGGGAGACGGGTGCTAGCGGATTTTTAAAACATTCACATCTTGTTATTTTGGACCATTTCTTTTTCTCACATTACTGACAACTAACTCTGAGGTAGCAGAAGGTTTTTTGTCAAGGTTTAGTAGGATTATTGTGATGTATCATTAACAACTTCATGTCCTTTACCTTGTTTTCATTCATTTTAGACACTATTTTCTCAAGCATTTGATTTGGAGGCCAGGGATTATTTGAATGAAGATGACCAGACTGTCGTCAAACACAGATCTTGGTAAGGGAAAAATCCTAAACTAACTGTCAGTGTATTAATGATAGCACCTTGTAGTAATCGTTGACACCATTTTTACATCCCTCTGCTAGATCTATACAGTATTATTTTGATAGCCATTTTCATACTTATGAACCATACACGGCTGCATGGGGCAAAGGCTGTGTTCTCCAAGTCTGTCATTTTAAGACCCTGAGTATATATTATTCCAGTCCCCACAGCCTCCTGCCAGGAGTTCTTTTTTTTATGTTTGTATACTCCACTGCATCTCAAAGTGTTTTCATTAAAAATAATTATTTGAGTTCCACTGAAAAGTACATGTGACTTAAAAGTCTGGAAGGAAAAAGAAAAACAGGAGGTTTATTTATTTTTGTCACACATTACATTAACACAATTAACATACAAGAAAATAAACAAAAATATATAATTATGGTGAAAGGAAAGCCTAAGCCAGAAACCAGAGGCTTAAACGGCCCTGGCTCCTAATCGCTTTGTGAAAATAGATAGAAACTAAAAAAGTGCGGTGTAAATGCAGGTGTGATTCAAAGTAAAATTCAGGTGCTTTCAACCTCTTTTGACTCTCAATTTCCTTTGTCTGCTAATCACTACAGAGGAGTAATATTAGAGTTCAAAGGGCACATGATGGAAACTGAGAATCAAACTATTGTGAAACCATTTCAACCTGAATTTCATTTTGAAATACAACCAAAATATAATGCCAAATTCATCCTTGCATTTTCTTCTTCTTTACAGCAGCAAGACGGAAATCAGATTTCCTGTCAATATAGGAATTACAGGTCATGTTGCCACAACAGGCGAGGTAATATTATGAAGGTGTTTTCAGATGAAAGTGGTGATATGGTTAAAATTTTAATAATTTGTACAAAGGTACATTGATTATGCAAGATTGCTAACTCTTTAAAATAAATTGGTCTGTTTCTCCTCTTTTAGACATTAAATATACCTGATGCATATCAAGATGAAAGGTTTGATCCTGCAGTAAGTTAATGTCTATTTTTTATCCAGATTGCATCGTACATCTAGATTTTTTTTCTGAAGCAGTTAAGAGCAATTTTAGACTCACTGTTGATTTTTTTACTCTCTGTTATTATTTTAATGAACAACAATTGTCACAGCATGTGGATCTAGTCAGGAACTTGATAACAGACCATTTTACAGTTGTGGACTTGGTACCCTAGCCTTCAAGTGAATGTGAGGCTGACAGTGACCTTGTTTTGGTTTTGATACAAACCTCATTTGCTTTGTTGTGGAAATTGTTCTAGAAAAATACTAGTTAGCATAAGAATAACTTGTGTTACATTATAAAGCAGGAAGGTTTGTATCAAAACAAGGTCACTGTCTGCTTCGCTTCCATCCAGAACTGTAAAATGGCCTGTTTATTTAATACCGGTGTATACAGCTGGCTTTTCAATTTGGACTTTGTAATCTTAGGCATCTTTAAAGTAAAATATTTTGTTCTTTCCCCTGTGTTCTGTGCAGGTTGACCAAGCTTCAGGATTTGTCACAAAGACCATTCTTTGCATGCCAATCAAAAATGGTAGTGATGAAATAATAGGTAAGACTAATTAAAGCATATGTATTTAAACTTGTGATTTGGATGACACATCTGTGCTGCATCTCAAAAAGTGGTGTTGTGTTCAGCAGTTGCCATTTCTTTTAATATTATTATTAGTTGTGTCGGCGCATGGAAGGAACTGACAAATCCACCCTGGGAAAGGATTCATTGGTTTATTTGATGTACCATGATCTGAGTGATCATAGATCACTGATCCTGATCTAGATCATTCCAAAGGAATACATCCTTATATTTTACCTGCCATTTTAAAGAAAAGAAATAACAGCATGAATGTAATCAATATTCTTCAACAAATGAAATTGGACCAAATGAGAGTGGTATCGCTTGCTGCATAACATAGCATTAAAGTTTGGTTTATATTTGTTTGACTGTTTAGGTGTCGTTCAACTTCTGAATAAGCTGGATGGAACGTCGTTCAACAAAAATGATGAAAATCTCTTTGAGGTATTTTAATTTCTTTGCCACGTTTATAGTTAATGTAACTTCCATTGTCGCATGGGTTCAGGTTCAAGCTGCTTGTGATTTCGTAATTCATTATCAGGAAGTTTCAGTCTATATTATCTAAGAAGTCAAAACTTACTAATAACACTTAATATCAATAAATCTCCTATTGCAATTGTAATCATGGCATTGCCTAATTTCAAACCGAGGAGGGCTGGGTATGAGTGTTCATTATGGCATAAACAACACAAGGCCCACATAGTGAGGAAAAGAACATTGAGTTTTGCAAAATTCTCAAATTTGGTGTTAATCAGGTCAATATTGAACAAGATACACTAGTTAAAAACTTGAAAAATTTCCTAAGAGATAATGGATTGCTGGACACACTGTCCAATGGGTCTTGGTATATTTTTGAGTTTTTTTAACGGCTGTATCTCATTAAATATAGGACCAAACAACACCAAACTTGAGGATTTTGTAAATCTTGGTTTCCTCTTTCTGACTTTGCGGGTCTCTTGTTGTTTATCCCATAATAAATTTACTCTTTCCCAGCCCCCCTTGGTTTGAAATTAGGCAAAAATATGAAACTACCTGCCAAAAAACCCAGGTGGGAGATATATGACCATGGAGGGCAAAATGGACTATAACAAGATATCCATTTCTAAGGAATAACTATTCTCCATCCCTTTGTTATATCCTTTCGTAGGCTTTCAAAAATCATGCCAAGAGCTCATCATCCCTTGTAACTTGTCTCTTATGTAACCTATATGTAGAGAATCGTTTTAAGGTTGTAGGGACATGCCATTCCGTGCAATTTAAAGCCATTTTAATGGGATTATGTGTTGAGGGGTTGCTGACGAGAAGTTAACATCTTTTGAAAGTGTCTGTCATCCCAAAAAGTGTTCAAATGGGGTGGTCACCTGTTGAGGTTTCAGCTGTATCTGAATACCCTTAGAGAGAGAGAAGCTGATCAACAAATTTAACATTTTTATTTAGAGGGAACTTTGTTCGGGGTGGTTGTTAAATATGATAAGTGACTTCTTTGTAACTTATTAATGCCGCAGTTTCATTTTTGTCAAGGTTACTTCATTATTTTGCCTGTTAGCCTTGCTAATGTTAATGACGTTGATCATCAAAATTAATAATTCCAATGTTTCTGACTGTTTTACCAGGCATTTGCAATTTTTTGTGGAATGGCAATTCACAATACAGTGATGTATGAAAATGTGAACAAGGCCATGGCTAAACAGAAAGTTGCTCTTGAGGTAAGAAATGTTGTTCGATTGGTGATTCACTGCATAGTCAAAACAGGTCATTTGAGAAAGGTGCAGTTTTCCATATTTCACAGGCATTGGAGCAGGGCCATAGCTACCCAGGGTGATAATTTTTAAAATTTAGGAAAACATTCCCCACTTGAACAAGATTGATTTTTTTACAGAAATACCTTTTGAAAAAAAGTACTGAAAATTCATTTTAGAGCTTCAGTTTTTGAAATTTTCTGGTAGCGGCCTGTTCAGAACCTCCTAGTGGCTCGCGTCTTTGGTGCTCACAGATCTTGTTTCCTCTCTGCCAAAAGTCTGGCTATGATCTTGAACAGACAAAAATGTATAATAAAAAGTAATACTACTTGAGTTAAACTTGTTTGAATCCCTGGTGAAACTTGAATATTATACATTTTTTTCATTACTGTAGATAATTAAGTATATTATATTTTCAAATTGCTCATGAAGAAAGTGCAGCTGGGAACATCACACTTCAAAATGTGCTGTAAGGTTACTGTAGGTAAATGTATCTCTGTCAACAGTCATGTTTGTTGGAGAATCCAATGAGTTTCCAGAAGGCTGTGGGCTTGAATCTTACCAAGACTGAGAGGTTTTTTATCTCCAGTCAGGGTTAAAACATAACACTAGTATGTGTGCTTTACAACTTCCATCAGTTAATGTTTATGATCTATTTTTTTTCCATTCAAGGTTCTTTCTTACCATGCAACAGCTCCACTTGAGGAAGCCAACAAGTTAAAGGTATTTTCATAACTTAAGGATTTGTTTATGATTTGATCGTTTCACGAGCTAAATACGAGCCGGAGTCAACCTCGAGCCTTGAGCCAAACATGAGCCAACCTCAAGTCACGCACAAAATGTCATTTTTTTCCCATTATTGATTTTTTTGGCTACAGAAAAGCAATTAACAGTATGTAGGAAAATGTGACACAAAATATGTAATAATGTGATATGTAATTATGCACTTTATAATGACAAAGGAAAAGCTTTCTTTAAAAGAAAAAGCTCAAGAGCTTAGCAACAGATCATGAAGCTTACTATAATGATCATAATGCTTGGCTCACTCTTGGCTCATTCTTGGCTCATGGCTTGTGGTTGACTCAGGTTTGTGTTTGGCTTGTGAAATGACCAAACTCATTTTGTTTAACCAAATTGACCTCAAGTTGCATATATTTGCGATCTTGCAAATGAGGTACAGTTTGGCCCTAAGAAAACATGCTGAGGCACACTTTAGTCCTAGAGCCCCGCAGAATTAGACAATGAACTACAATGGGGTAATAAAAACAATAGGATATTTAGTTTTTCTTTGTTAGTTTACATGGTGAGCTAAAGATGTCAGGCTTATACAAGTCAGTCTCAATGCAGAAAATTAAAACTTTAACTTTTCTCAACTGGAGTCAGTTGAGGAAAGTTGTTGTCACTTGTGTGGAAACCAAACAACAGCAGTGACAAAGTCACTCGGTTTTCGTTTTGTTTTGTCTTTTGTTTTTGTTTTTGTTTTGCAATAATCTACATCCTTGGTAGTTAGTGATTTTAAAAATGTATAGCTTATGTTATATTGTCGATATTCTCTTCTAGTCTGTTCCCTTGCCATCCATAAATTCTCTTCGTCTTCTGGATTTTACATTTGATGATGAAGCAGTTGGTGATCAAGATACACTTCTAGGCACACTTGCAATGGTGATGGACTTAAAATTACATGAACATTTTAATGTGGAATATCAGGTGTGTAGGATAAAATGGGCTCTGTGATGACTGTGGTGTCACAGTTTTCTGTATATTTTTAGTCTGGGAAAACGGCTAACATTTCAAAAAGCCACCACAGGTTTGCCTGTGAAATGACGTCTGAGGAATGAGTGCAGAAATTCCACACAAATGACATGTCACTGGGTGTACTTCTGATTGTTTGTGCCACGAGGGACATTTGCTTCAACCAATCAGATATACGACCCAGATCTTGGTAGTGACACATCATCAGTATGGAATTTTTGTGCTCATCCCTCAGATGTCATATTGTGGGGAAACAAGTGGTCGGATCCCAAAAATGTTTCTCAGGCTAGTATGTTTTGTGCTCTGGAATGTTATGGTCTGTATTACATTGCAGACAACGTAACCTAATGCCAGTTAGTAACATCTGTGAAGCAGCACCAAGATCCTTGTTCTTGTCCCCTACAGACTCAGCAAATTACTGGAAGTGTGTTTTGAATTTCTTTTCATCCTGATTGGCAATTTAACAATGGCTTTTTTCACAGGCCAATGAAGACATGTAGTCAAATCCAGAGTACACAGGTGGATCTCCGTAACAAGGATTTTGGCGCTATTTCGCAGACGGACTTAACCAGAGTTTAGTTTCATCTGTAGGGCAGGCTAGAATGTTATGGCTACTATGTAAAGCTTGATAAAAAGCACTGTAACAATGTATAGCTTAGACAAGGCATTTTAGTGTGATATCTAAATGGTTTAAAAGTTTTGATCTTCACTTTCTTGTCGCACAGTTTTTTATTTTCCCATGAATTTCAACAAATTTATGACTGGATTGTTGTGTTGATCAGGTTCTTTGTCGTTGGATTCTGACGGTGAAGAAGAATTACAGACCAGTGATGTACCACAACTGGAGACATGCATTCAATGTTGCACAAACAATGTTTACTATACTCAAGGTATGTTTCATTACATTGATAGTATATCAAATATGCTGTCCTGTCATCTACAGTATTTTGCAGCTTGCAATTATGTCTTATAATGAGTAAATGAATTAATACCTTAATTTACAGCAATAGGGGAACCAGGAAATGGGAACACTAGAAATTAAATTAAACAACTATCATAATAATTAAAATAGAAGTGATAAGACTATTTACATGGGTATAATATTATTCATGTGTATGATAAGTGTCAATATTTTTTCTTTAAATCTTATCCCTTATCTTAACTGATACTAATTTACCCTCAGCATTTGACAGGGCAAAGAAATACAAAATTAGGTGACCATTGTTTCAGTTTAAAGGTTGGCTGGACGAAACTAAGCTTTTAGTGACTACAGATCAATTCTTCTGCCAAAGTGCCTAGAGCCAACTTTTTCTTGTTATCTTCAGGCTTCACTTATACTGTAGACTAATTTTAGCATTTTAGCAGACTCCTGAAGTGGATTTGAAGATTTTTTTGTTTCCCTGCAGATTGACGAATTTGGGAGAATCTTCAGTCCTGAGGAGAAATTTGCCTTGTTGGTAGCCTGTTTATCTCATGACCTAGATCACAGAGGAACCAACAATTCATTTCAAATAAAGTAAGGCTCTGTAAATTATAAATATTGATTTTGAAATTTTATGCTATCACCATAGAATATTCTTTTGGAGTGTTCAAAAAATGAATAACACATTAAAACGTAGCCTGTGAATACAGCCATCTCTCCTTGCTCCTTGAACATCTGTCCCTCAGCGACAAGATGTGAAATGTTTTTCTTGCCAACAGAGCTGTCAAAAGATGCAAGAAATGAAGTTCTCTCACACTGAATGGAACGTGGGAACAAGCTACAATTTAGGCTATCAGTGTTTATGCTAAACTCATGGTTCAGTTTTGTTTCTTGCCAAACCTGTGCCTCTTGGCAATGCAAAAAAAACAATATCAGTTAGATTGGCTATACACTGCATTAAGTTCAGGAAGGTTTTTCTATTTTTTCCTTGTTTGCTGTAAAATGTTTGTGATGGTTGTGATTAACAAGCTGTTGCATTGTTGTGCGGCAGACAAATGGTATTCAGTGCATGAGAATCAATGTTTACATAGTAAATCTGTATTAATCTGGTCGCATTTTCCTGTGGGCACCTGTAAGTGGCCACATTTCTCATGTAATATTTCTGTTGGCTATATTAGCACTTTTTAAAATCTGTCTTGGGGGGCTTGCATACAGGACCTTCAACTGTACTGACAAGACATGAGATCTGTCTAGCTACTTTTACAGTTGTAGATCATATATTTTTAATGAACTGAAATTGATTTTGACACTTTCAGGAGTGCGTCAGCCTTAGCACAGTTATACAGCACATCAACCATGGAACATCACCACTTTGATCAGTGTATCATGATCATTAATAGTCAGGTAATTACTGGACAAACCAAGGTTACCCCCGCATACATGTGGGCTGAACTCCCTTAAATTTACTGCGGGGTGTACTGCTGAATCTTTGAGGCTCTGGACTTGTTCCAGACAAAAAGAGGTGAATATGTGACCCTGTTCCAGACAACAACCAAAAAAAATGTACATATTTTTTTGTTGTCATGTGTTCGTTTATTCTTCCTCTATGGCTTGGTTTTACCGTGGAATGCATCTGAGCTTGATTGAGAAAACAGTTCAACCTCTCCACAACAGCCACCTTGGGGACAGAGGAAAGTAGCCGTTGTTGAGAGGTAACTGTTGTAGAGAGGTTTAAACAAGAGTCACTATGTGGACTGTCCACCAAAAAAAGTGCCTGTTGTCAGAGCTGTCATTAGGGGCCGTAACCCATAACACCTGTTACAGCTGAGCTCACTTGATGTTATGGGTGATAAAAGTGGGAAGCTAAAGGTGACAGTATAAATTTTTGTGAGATGTTACGGGTGAATCTTTATTTGCTACGGCTGCCCTAAAAATTAATGACAGTCCTGGTTGTGGAGAGGTGACCATTAGTGGAGATTTGATTGTAATCAGGGATTATGGTGAAAAAATTGACCCCTCTTCTAGAGATCAAGGGTGATTTTTATACCCTGTTTGAGAGTAAGAGCAGCATTTCCTTATAAGCAGCACATACTTGTATAGCCCATATATGGGACTCGGTACCCCCGTTCCCTGTATCCCCACAGGTAATTTGTGTTAAAAAACAATCATTAATACCCAAGGTTTTTTTTAACAGACAATTCCTTTAAACTCTTTTAACGTTCGCGAATACTCAATTCCTTTTTAATGATTGTATGGCTTTTCTATTTTAGGGAAATGAAATATTTGGGTCTTTGTCCGCTGAGGAATACAACAAAATGATTAAACTCGTAGAACAAGCAATTATATCCACAGATTTGGCATTGTATTTCCAGTAAGTTATATTATTTTCATGCTTTTTACTACGAAGCAAGACCTTTATTTGCAGAAGTTATTAGTGACACAAGCAAAAAACCACTCAGAAGTGCACTTCTGAATAATTGATTTCTAAACGTTATAAGCAAAATGTGAACAAATCCTCCACATTTGACCCAGCGTTGTCTTTCTTTAAAAAATTGTTTAAGGAAGATTATTTTTATTTCTGTCCAGGCTTTATACGTCTTTTTCAACAGATTTGTTATTCAAATAATTATTTAAATATTAATCCTCAGGACAGTTATGTCTCACCTATTAAAAGTAAAGTAGCCTGTGAGCAGGCTGTCTGTTTGAGGAAAGGGTGAAAAAATTGCGAGGAGAGGGAAGGGAAATGAAAGGGTGCCACTTATTTCATAGTGAGAGGTTGTGAGAGGTACGGAGAGATCGGCTTGATTTCCCCTCTGATCGTGATGCAAGAACATTCATTGCAGCTAAAAAAGCTCATCAGTTAAGCACAAGAAGTCGCCATGTTAAACATCAGAATACCTGCTTACAAGCTATTATTTTAATCAAATCACATGCTACATGCCGACAAAATAAGCGATGTAAATCAAACCTGTCTACAGTCAGTGTTCTCGCGAAAAGGAGCTTGCATCAGGTTCTGATGCACAGCGGGTGCCATGGAACGACGGTCCCAAATGTTTGTCTACAGGCCCTCACCCTTTCCCTTCCCTCTCCTCGCGATATTTTCACCCTTTCCCCAAACAGAGGGCCTGTTCACAGGCTAAAAGTAAAGTTTTATATGAAACCTTCCTCCACTTCACTACAAACTTAGAAACTAGTTTTTCCTCCATCTCAGGAAGAGGGGGGAATTTTTCAAGAAAACTGAAGCTGGATGTGAAGATTGGACAACAGATGAAAATAGGGAACTTCTGAGGTGCGTTTGATTAAAATTTCTCTTGTGATTAGTGAGTTAAGTAGTAAACTTGTTCTGAAAAAAAAAAGAGTTTTACAAAGAACTGAATATACTTTGTATCTGGTAGTAGACTTGACGAGTAGTTTGTTGTTCTGTTGTACTTCAGGGCTATGATGATGACAGCATGTGATCTGTCAGCGATAACAAAGCCATGGCCCGTTCAAAGAAGGGTAGGTTCATATAACCCTCCTTCTACTGATGTCTATCTTATTTTTAAGCCTATCCAATGTGTTGCATAAGGCCCCTAATGCTTCACCCAGGGCATCATCACCTTTATAATTATCATGATGGTGAAGTCCTAACAATGCCGTTAGTTATGCCAGCAGGTACATCTTGTATTCCCTGGTAGGTTCAATCATGCTTTCATGGTCACAGAGAAGAGACCCACCCAAAGCATAGACACTTTATAAGAAGACTTAAGTCTTTTTTTGTATAAATATAAGAGGAGCCAGTCTTAGTACAAATCTCTCAGTGCCATATTTGATTTCTCTCTCCTCTTTCTTCTCTGCAGACAGCTTTGCTTGTGGCTGAAGAATTCTTTCAGCAAGGTGACCTTGAACAGCAAGAATTAAAGGCCACACCTATGGCAATGATGGACAGAGGCAAGAAAGATGAACTACCACAGATGCAAGTGGGGTTTATTGATGCTGTGTGCTTGCCTCTGTACAAGGTTAGACTATTCTCTTGTTAGAGAAGGCAAAGATCTACCATGAAGTCATTTATTCCAATTCTTAGGGAGTGAAGGCAAATCTCACGGGTCTTCACTATTTTCTTTTTGACAAAAGTGGCCTTTGAGCTTTTCTGTCCAACTGTATAACCTGGAATTTAGTCCCAGATTTTCCTAAAATTTGCAAAATGTTCAGTTGTAGTATCTCAATTTCATGTAATTTATGCTTTCCGGTTACCCTGCAAGCAGAGGCTGCATTTTCGCTGTGTGAGCTGGTGTGCGAAAAGTAGCCTCTGCGGACAGCCATTCAAATTTTATCGTGCATGCATGAAATTCGTCACGCAATTCGCAAGCAAAATTAATCATCAGGTCTGTCGTCAAATGGCACAAGTTTTAAGGGATTAAAAATAATTGCGTCAACTCTGATCTGCTACGCCAGACTCACACAATGCTCTAAACCGGTCAAGGACAGGAAAAAACCAGGTTTTTCAATCTATTCGTCCAGATTTCTGGACGGATTTGAATGGTTGTCGGCAGAGGTTACTTTTCGCATTACAGCTCACACAGCGAAAATGTAGACTCTGCTCGCAGGGTAGTTTCTGGCAGCATTTCAATGTTTGATTGGGGACTTGATTGATATGTGCGTGTGTGAGTGTGTGTGTCGGGGGTGAGGTTTAGGTTGATGATATGGGCATATTTGCTGACTCCTTGTGTGAACTAACAGCCTAGCCCGTGTCGATGACATACTCTAATCTGCGAAGTAATGCCTATATCCTTGTTCTGGTCCCTCAACGGACTCAACGATTAGTAATGGCAATTCATTTTGAATTTTCCTTAAACCTGACTGGCAAATTGACAATGGCTTTTTTAACAGGCCAATCGTGGTGTCTACTCAAATCCTGGTAGGCAGATGGGGGCCCCGTACAAGGATTTTGGCACTGTTTGGCAAACAGACTTGGTTTAGTTCTGTCAGTCTGTGGTGCAGCCTATGAACAGCCATATTTTGAGTTTTTTTTCTTTGTAGTTGAAGTCCGAAATAATAGTTATGTCCCCCTTCCTAGATAAAAAGCAGTGGTCCTTTAAAGAATGACAACCTTTAAGCTAAAGAAGGTTTTTCTATTAAAAGTGGTATAGTGCTAGGAATGCTTTAGCATGAGTGGTCACAATTTGTTATTAATAGCATGCTGCATGAATCTCATAACTAGGGCTTTTTTTTTCAGGCCTTCTCACAAATGAATGTAAAACTTTCAACCCTGAGGGATGCCTGTAGAGAAAATAAGCGACAGTGGCAAAAACTTGCTGATGATTACAAAGCTCAGGTTTGTGATTGTGCACTTCCTTGTAGCTAGCACCACTTTTTTCTCTATAAAAACACTTTAAAATACAGATAAATGCACCATGAAGTACCTTATTTGACACCCTCTGAGTGTCAGAATGAAACAAATTCACTTAAAATCTTTGTAAAGTGCACCTGGCCTCTTTCTTTTAAAATTTCTAACCTATTAATAGAATGCCAAAACTTAAAGCAAATCCTTCCTGAACTTGCACCAGCACCACACTTCTGTTTTGGAATTTGAAGTCATTGTGTGAATCTTGTTTCTGCAGATTGAGAATCAAGTGTGGATAAAAAGATGAGATCTGAAATAATGTAAATACTGAATGTTCATTATTATTCTTGTCTTTGTTTATATAGCATTAGCCAAGATGTGCGTGCACGCATGCTTTAGGTTATTCCTACCTAGGTATGTCAAGATTTGCTGCAAATTCTTTATTAAAATATCCAAACTTATGCCGTCATCTTCAACATCAAAATCATCATCATCGTCATCATCGCTATTAGCAACTATCATCCTCACATGCACTTATCCCTTAACCCTCTAAGCCCCAGCATCAACATGCATCTTCTGTACACTGTTCTTCATACATTCCTTATGGTACTGCTTGAGAGAATTTGTTCTAACATCACAACATTTCATCCTTGGTAATCATTTTATTCACTCTCATGACCTGTCCGTTTAAACAGGCAGTGTTTTTGTTGGGAGAAATTGTATGTGGGTCACTATTGATGCTTAAAGGGTTTATTAATCCATTTGCTCCTGAACCACCCGTAACTGCCCATGCATGCAGATTCGTGTCCCTTCTGCCCGCTTTTTATCGCATGAGTTTTAACGGTCAAGGACAGCTTTGACTTCTAACTTGTGCAGAGGGAAGAGATCTCTCAGACCATATCAGAATGAGTGCGATTCGGTCTTGCAGGTGGTAGAAAAAGGAAAAAATCATGTAACATTAACCGAAAAAAACTCATGAAAATCTTATTCCATTACCCATGTACATTTCCTTCCATCCAATCCTTAGATCCTAAAAGCTTTCTCAAATCCTTTTCCCTCCGAAATGAAGCGTAGTAAATGTCTAGCAATTTCGTCTCATAATTTTTCTTTCTGCACATGCTCGAACTTTAGAAGCTGATGAAAATTTTTCATCTGAATCAGAGGGCCATGAAGCACTTGACTTTTCAACTGTGTTTTGCACAGTTTTGGCTCATTTTAGTCAGACAATGACCAGAAAACAGCTTGATTAGCTTCAAAATGTGATTTTCAGCAAAAATCCCTATAGTGAATGGGTTAATTATCATTCAACACGTGCAACAGTGTTGGCAAACCATTGTTATTGTGATGTGCTATTGTCACCATTGTGATCGTTGCAGTCATTTTACTCAGCCGTTTTGTTCATAATTATCCAAATCTCTAGTCCACCACCATCACTTGACTACATATTTGAATTTTGCATGATGCCTCTTTAATTCACTCCCTATGCTGATTCGGAAAAATGCTTTATCTCATCACATCACACCTTTCTTCACTTCAAAAATCATTGTCATAACTGTTGCCATGATGTAAAATAATTTATTTTGTGGTCACTTTCATGGTCTTCATCACTGTTGATTAGTGCTGTCATTATCAGGGCATCCTCCTTTCTCTCTCTCTCTCCACAGTACAGGCCCCTGCTGGGTATCGCTTTTTTCCTCTCCCCAGCCTCCCTACGTCACAAAGAGGCCCCTGTGGAGGAGAGAGCCATCCTCCTTGTTGAGGTCATGTTGCATAATGATTTATTACGGGCTCCTCTTGCCACCCGCAATCCTAATCTCCAGGTTGTTATTACACATGCGTTGAATGAATGGAATTCTCAAAGTGCAATTTGATCACACACGTTTCGACCTTCTACCCCTTGTAATCTTTTCACACGTGTTTTGACAATCTGTCAAGTGAAATTTACACAAAGCACAGAGTGGGAGCAAAAGCGTTTGTACCTCCAATCGTCATCTCCTGCACTCCATAACCCTTGGTAACTACTAGTCTAGCATTAGATTCCTTTCTGGTTATCTGCACTTGGTTTCGCTCTTTTTGTACAACATATAAATGCAAAGGTGCTTTAAACACAGTCAAACCCTGTTATTATCGACACTGAGGGGGCCATAGAAAGTGTCCGTATCAACAGGGTGTCCGTATTAAGGGGCTTGAATTTCCCTAGGAACAAAGCAAACTGTCTCTAATAATGAGGTGTCTGTATTAAGCAGGTGTCCTTAAGTAGGGTTTGACAGTATCTCTTAATGCCCTTTTTTTCCTGAATTTTTAAAAAAAACTGTAAATTTACTAATTTAAATTTTTTCCCACGTAGGTCACTAATGTAGAAGAATCAACTCAATAAATTGATGTTATGGTAACGTTCCTGTCAGCAAATAAATAGCATTTATTATAAGATTAAAGCAATAGTAGATATCCTTGTACATAAACAACATATAAATTTAATTTTTTAGAACGTGAATCATAGTTCTATGGTTGTAAAAATATCACTGTCAGTGTTAAGCAAAGTAAAATCATTCAATTAGCGTCTGCTATGTTTTTGCTTTTATAAGTGTGTTCGGTCCTAAAGTAAAAAATCAGTGAAAAAGACTTGCAAGGCTTTCTGGTCATAGAAGGTATTTTAATTAAATATTTTATTTACTATTCATTGTTGTCTTGCATGTACACATCCATTTGACAGTGCAGTTAAGGTCACTTCCACACCTGGCTAGCTAGCTAACATTATTTTTTTCTGACTGAAAAAATCAGCAAAACTTGTATTATTTATATATGGAGGAAGTTCTTGTTTGTGGGCACCTATTGGGCCTTCTTAACCCAGGCTTCACCCAAAGTTTGTAGTAAATGTGGCAAATTCACAAAAATGCCCCAATTTTTTGTATTACAATCCTAAGAAATAAACAGCACTTTACAAGAGCTCTCATTTGAGTTGTAACACGATTTGAATTCCTCAATGGTTTTAAAAGTTGCACTGTTTTTCTTTTTAAGTCTTAGAGTAATAAGCTATCTTGTTGTAACTCAGCCTAAGGATTGAAGGGTTAAACTGATTAAGAATCAATTAGCTTGAAACTTTTTTTCCGTCATGGTATCAGTCATTTATGAGAGCTGAGAATAGACGATTTTCCCGTGAGGCACTTGGTACTCTAGCCTTCGATTGAGTGTGAGGCCGAGGTTGACCTTGTTTTGATCAAACGTCCTTTGTTTTCTTGTGGAAATTATGCTTGAAAAATACTAGTTTGCATATGAACAGCACGCATGATTTACATATGAAAGCAGTAAGGTTTGTATCAAAACAAGGTCAACTCCAGCCTTGGTTTTGTAAAATGGGCTATTGTTCTCTAGTCATCAAATAAGGAAACAAAATTGACATGATAATATAAATATTATAACTGTCTACTTTAAAAGGTGTGTGCTGGACTTGTAAGTTTTGAAAATTTGTTTTGATTGGAGCCATACCCAGTGGAGATAAACCAAGGCAGTTTTTGTCTGTGCCTTGTGAAAAAAACTAATGGGCTCTTAGTTAAAGATACAGTCAAAGGTCTTGTAATGGACCCTCCTTTTAGCAGACAGCTCAACTGTAGGGACCTTTAGCCTGTGTAGCAACAGTTTCTGTGTTTTTTTGGAGCAAAGAAAGACCTCGCAAAAAAAGGGGTGAGTAAAAGAGGGGGAGGGAGAGGGGAAGTAAGGAAACTCCAACCCCCACCTCCCACCTCGTTCATTTTTTGGCTATGGTGCCATTATTCATGGGGCCAAATCCCATTCCTTGGTCTTTGTTTGCTTTGTAACCTCATGGAAATGCTTGCTTGGAACCGTCAATTGAACCCTCCACTTATGAAAATCATTCGAAGGTGTCCACTTTAGGAAGCTTTGACTGTATTTTGTAAAAGGCATTGACAGAATTTTTATCTGACTTTTATCCTACTTATTACTCAATAAGTCTAAAGAGTGAAAGCGATGGCTTAATCTTTGAGGTACCTGTATTTAATTTCTACAAAGCTCCCTCATTTGTACAGGCAATAGCTAATTAACCCTTTATAAGTCCCAAGAGTGATCAACATCAATTTTCTCCTAACAATGCCCATAAAATAATAAACAAGAGAAAGGTTATGAGAATTGAACAAAATGATCACTCAAGGGGCTTTAAACAAAAAAGTGTTTTTCGAATGTGGGTGCCATTTTTGCAATGGGCTAAAAGCTTTTTTCTCTACACAAGGTGTCTGACTACAGGATTATTGTTCCATAATGATTAAATTATACAGGGACTGCCACTTCAATTAAATATTACTGCTGTAAATGATACTAGATGACTATATTATGGATAGCAATATTATTATGGTTATAGAACTTTTCAAAAACGAAATTTTGTTTTTTGTGTGTTGGTTGGAAAAAAGGGATCAATACTTGACACGCTGGTGAAAATTTCCGATTAAATTCATGACTTTTTACTAGTTAAAAAGTACGTAAGATTTCCCACAGTAGTTGACAATGGTAAGAAGTGGTAATTAATTAAAACACCCAAAGTTCTAATTAGAGGGTTATTGGTATATGATGGGAGTGGCTACTCAGAACGGTTGATAAACTTACCTGTGAAGAAGGAAATGAGGTTACAAGAAACAGTGCTGGACACTGCATAATTATTGTGACTTTTAGTAACATAAACTATCTATGAAAAATTACCTCTTTCCTTAACTGGAAGCCAAAAAATGGCACTGCATTCTTTTGTTGTTCATATATTACAGATTATGAAAATAAATGCAGTGTTTTTATGTGGCTGGAACCACAACTGTTAACTTGAAGTTAGCCAACATAAAATGTATTTTTGTGATATATATATACCTGAGCTTTTACCGTTGCCCATTAATTACTTTTCCTTTGTTGTTACTTTAACCATAAATTAAGGTTGGAACACACCAGGTGACAAATTGCAGCAACCCGTTCCAGTGATAAATCACTCCTTGTGTACAGGTTGGGTGGCCAGTTGCAGCAGCACA